CCTTTTTCATTAAAAGCCTTGTTAAATTATTTAATGTGGTTAAAAATGTTTTTGTGCATAATTATCGGTCTTTTCGCAGGCCGAATGACCGATTGTTTATAAAATATTTGTACGTTACAGGGTATTTTTAAGGTAGAAATCTGTATCATAAATCTTTGTCTGTCTGATTGGGTCTTCGTTAAAAGAAAATCTCAGTTTTTCTGGCACAGATAAATATTTAGAAGAAAAATTACTTTTGTGTCGTTATGCGTAACTTTAGACAGATGACATTAATACCGTAGAATAAATTAAGAACATTTTGCCGCCAGCTTAAAATTGTCAAAAATTATATCCGGTGAACTATATTATTTTCTTCTTTTCGCTCAACGTGCGGTCAAGATGAAATGAATCGTGCAAACTGATTGGCTAACGAAAGGCACAGATATCTTTATTCCGGACCGCTCGCGCGTGCTGACAATTTTTAGCAGCCCTTTCCTATGTTATATAAAAAAATAATAATAATGAAACCTTATTAATGAAGCTTACGTGGCTTTCTGAAAAGCAAGGCTTGTCGTTGAAAAATTTCATAAATTTACAGTAAGGACTTTTCGGAAGAAACTTAACAAAAAGGATTAGTCAAAGTGCTATATATAGCTGGGACGATTAAATTAGTTAGTAGAGATAAATCCAATTTACGCTGCTCAGAAAATTCCTCACAGTTTAATTAATAATCATTTAAACCTACTCTGTCCTTCTTCAGTGCATCCGAAATTTTTTGGTTCAGATCTATGCCTTATTGATTTTTTGTCAAAAATTCACCGGATTGCAGAGATTTATGGCGCAATTTGAACACTACTCGTTAACACGTTGCTTCATAAAGCCTGTTACATTGACAAAAACATTTATCTCTAGTGTATTGTACAGATTACTTAGTCTGTGTACCGTAAAACGTTTAATGTTGGTCCTTAATATATCGCTTGCGAAGTGGAAAGGAAATATCTTTTGCAAATTCTTAATACCTCAAGTGTTCCTTGAAGTCTCGTAAATGGCATTTTAATCAGAGAATCATAGGTGGTTTTGATCAGGGCATTGCACACTGACTTAGCACATTAAAGAATTTATAAATAATGTAGAAAACCGCGGCATCATTTTGGAACAATATAGGGTCAATATAGACCGCCTTAACCTCATTAATAACACAATATTGTACAATGCAGATTCATCGAGTAAAAACCGTTTGAAGTTGTAAACAGTAATACAAGCACAATGTAAATGTTTTTGTCTTGAATGACATATTATTTACACCCACGAGAACTCACAATTTGACTACAACTAGTTTTATTTGTTTATGTAAATTTTCCCACGACTGAAATGAAATGATCAAAATATAAAACATGTAAGATGGAGACCGCGTGCTGTTATCTATACTGGCTGGACAAGGCTAATTACAGCCTGATCAAAGCAAAGTGCAGCTTACTCGGACACTATTTTAATAACTTGACGAGATTCTTTCCCAAACGGTTCTCTAAAGTTAGCATACGTTTACTAAGATAGGCGGTCTTGTGTTGTTTGAATTTGCTCTTTGCCAAACTTAATGGAACACTTAGCAGCTCCAGTGATGTTAAGTAGTATGGACCTCTGCAATTAGCAAAATTCCAGACGATTAGGCAAATATTGCGTTTCCAAAACGCCATAAAAAAATATTGAAGAACTAGCTACAATAAACGACAAGAAATCCCCGTTATCAAATTGAACTTATGTCGACTTTTGCTTGGGTAATGTTTTAATGAAATGACCGAGTTGAGAAACCGTGTTTTGCTTGAAGACTTGGATACGAAATATTATTGCACGGCAGGTGAAATTGTGCATTTACATACAATATATCAAGATTGGGAGACGATAAATCAAGCATTTTGCCGCACAACGAGGTCTCGCTAAATGTTCAGTCCTTTAAATATTTAACGTATCAATTACAGCATTTCAAAAATTACCAAAGACGAATACAACAGCTTGACTGTGGAAAAGGATAGAAGTCGAATACGATATTTTAACCTCTGTCACCAGAAAAACGAGTTTATTATGACAAACAGTTGTCAAGGAACAAACCGTGCGCAGCCAGGCTTAGCATATCTAGTTGAAGTTAACAAAACAAAGGCTCTTTGCACATTCAAATCCCACGTGGCTTTATAGTAAATGTCTTTACCACTTAAAATAAATAATTTATCCTTACGCGTCTATCTTGTTGGCAGAAATTTCCTAATCGGGGGCATATTTGATGAGAATTCCCGCTGTTTTTTTAAGCTGGATAGGAAAATCGTGTTTTGCCAGAGGACCAGTCGTGTTGTTCAATATAGTAATGATCAAGGCTTTATGGCAACCTGGCATAATTCAGGAAACAAAACCGTGTAGATCTATTGTTTTCAGTCCAAACAAGGGATTCAGGAGTCTGGTGTCTTATTTGAGGTCGAAGGATGAGGAAATATTACCTGCAATTTGGTGGAGGATCCAAAGCGATCTCGGCCAGTTCTCGCTGAATTCTGAAATACAGTACCGCAAAGATTACTTGTAACATGTAATACAAAGACAACCGCGAAAGCTAAATATGCTAATGAGCCGATATACCCCAACGTCTTTACCCGTCGCGGACGGCCCTGAATTTTGAAGAATTACATACTCTGACAGTTGAAGATGGTCTGTTTGGTTCCTTTGTTCAAAGTAAGGCAATTCTTTCGTCTTTTCCCTAAAATTACAATAAGTGGGGAACGTCTAGAAGTTAACATGCAAATTAGAGATCAACTAGTCACATCATTGTCAGCTTTCGGCCCCTCCACCTATACTCGCCTGTGCAAATTACGCGAAATCCGCGGTGTCAAGGATTTACCTACCTCTTAGCAGATGTTGAAGCTGATTTCAGGGGCCGGGGGCTGGCACCCCGGCCGCGAGCGGCTCGCTTGCCGTCACAGTTATCCTGAGGGGTTCTCCTCTCGCCATCAGATGAGGAACTCAGTGCGCTGTGGTTTGACATGACCAGCACGATGAAGAGACCGTGGAAATTCACGCGACGAATCACGAGATCTGGACGCTGCCCTATATGGTAGCAAATGTACACTGATTAAACAGCTCCGGGTCATAGCAGCCCGTCTCGCGCGATCACGGCCTTCTGTCTACCGGCAAGAGAATTCAAAGCGGCTTTCGTGATCCTAACATTTGGACGGCAAATAGACACCTTATTTTGGGCGAACATTTCTCACCGCAGGACAGGAGAGTTGAAAGACAGCACGTGACAACTTTATGAGAGATTTGATTAGAGGGCAGTGACACATTTAACATGGCGGCCTGGTCTACCGGAATAAGAACGCTTCCTATTTTCCTCTGCGTACGAGAAACTTGTGAGCCACACGAGTATCAAATTATCACCAATAATGCTCCTTTTAGACGAAGAACAATTTCCGCTGGTAAATACACGGTCTCTTTGCGTTTAAACCGGACTGAACGCCTCTTTAAAGGAACTAGTCGTGCTTGAAAGAACGTGTCGGCCCCAACACGAAGGAACGCTTCTTACTCCGCGGTTACGTATGAGCAAATCATTGAAAATATATCAACACAAACTATACTCACGTACTCGCTAGATGATGGTCGATACTTCAGGCGTAAAAAAAGGCTGTTTTGGGGGACGTGTGAAGATTATCAAAGGTTTAAAGCTAGCGTAGACTGAAGCAGGAGCATCTACCGGACACAGATTCAACAGCTGCCAAGCCTGAAAGCCAGCGCGCAAAGCATTGTCAGTGGTCTCCGCCTGTCATAGAGACGTCATTAAGTTATCAATGGTTTGCGTCATAATACCAATTTACCGGCTATCGACACAACGAAGCAACCGACCAATCACAGCGCGCGTGTGGTGCGCTATTGAGTGAGGTCGAGTATCGTGAACAGCTGCCGATGTCTCCCAGGGGAATATAACAATGCACTTGTTTCGCTGATTGACATCCTGTAGGGTGAACACAATAACGGCCACAAGAACTTTGTTTGTTCTCCAGAAAACAACGTCGATACACAACTGGAAACTCGAATCATTTCATTGACAGTAGCGTCGTCAGCGGATGTAAAATGCGATAAAACAGAAGTTATTTACTGTGTTGTAAAGTTTGACTCAAATGCGGTTTACCAACCTCACCGCGTAAGAATTTACATTCCTAAATTTCCCTTGAAACCTGAAACACTGCGAAGATTTTCTGTGGGTCTGCTCGTTATAACACTTACGCTGGTTTCGCGAATTGTTCTGAAGTTGCATTTCCGAGGTTATTATTGGAAATGTAAATAAAAGTGAGATCGTTCATTTTATTTAAATTTTCTTTGTGTCAATGTAGATTGCTTTGCGTTTTACAGGGATGATATATAAACATAATAAGGTCAGGTTTGACAAACTTTGACCAACTTTCGTATCTGCGGTTTTCGAACCGGAATCGCTTAAAAATTCCAGACATCCGAGTTATTCTGAAATTAACGCGGTTAACTGCTTTCAGTTCTGTATTTGTCAAATTTACGAGTTCAGGTTTTACTCACGTGGCAAATATAATTGAGAGTACAATTGTCAAATGTTGGAACATGATATGAAACAAGATTACTTGTCGACCTCAACTTATCCAATCTCTCTTATAAAACGGCTTTTCAGCCGGTATCGTAAGAGCGGTCTATATCAGCTTATTTCTAACCGCTCGACCTCTTGGTGAAAGCAATATTCAGTTCTTTCTAACTGTAACAAATAGCAGTGTTAGAGCTGTTTTGTAGTTCTGTTGTTGTATATAGCCGTTAATAACCTTTTGAACAATACGCATATTGCACCGAGTTAAACAATATGTTTGCCTTTGTGTGAAGTGCTATTAAAGTTTTTACGCTTCGATAAATCTTTATGCTTGACAAGGCACGAAAATTCCCAAGGGAGCTTGATAGAAAGAATCTATTTTTCCGATTAGCCAGATAATGAACTATTAATTACAAGATTAGTGTTTTATAGTCTTGAATAATACCACTCAGAAGAAAAACAACATTGCAGAGAAAACTGTATTGAACAGCTAGGATTTTGAAGACTTGTATGCAAATTTCTACCTTGCAGTGCTCATGAAAAATTAATGACATGCAGTAATATTGATTTCTCTATCGCTAAGGACGTCGTTTGAACAAAGAATTAATATCAGCTTTTTGAATGGTTTTATTGTATGTACACCCGTACTCAGAAATAATTCATTGAGCAACTGCTCGAGGTATTGCCGACTGCATAAAAGATTAAGACAATATTTTGCGCTGTCAGAACGCTCCGCATTAAACAAAATGCAAAGCGTTTTGAAATCGAATACTATATGCCGGCTTGACGTGACCAACAATTGAGTAAACAAGACTAAACAAAAGGTAAACAAAAACCCCTTTCATGGTAGAAATTGAAAGTTATGTTTCACTTTTGTTCAACAAAAGCGTAGATAATGCAGGTAATACAATAAAGGGGCCTAATTTCATTCTTAAACTAAATTTCGTGGATGTAAATAATCTAACAAAAGCATGCTTCTTGCTTTTACAAAATGTTAGTGTTTTATTTAGAAAGTGCATTTATTCAAATAATCTAGTAAGTAATGCACAATAAATCAACATTAATCAAATACCAAAAAGCTTGTTGACAGTTGCAAGAAAGGTGTTTAATCTTGTTTTGTTGCTTTGCTCGTAGAATACAACCATATAAAAATATAATGAACAGTTAATTTTGGCATCAGTTGCACTTTTCTTGTAAAATAAAAATAGAAAGCCCGGCCGTTGCTAGCCAATTTAGTTTCCGGACTTCTAATTGTTCAACTTCGCTTAGGGGAACAATATTGTTGTTAAGTGATCTTGGGAAGTGTTTCGTGTGTTGTCTTGTGGAAGGAAATGGCTGGGAACAAAACGCTTTATAACACTATATAGTGTATGCGAAAGTCAATTTAAAAAATGAAACTCTTGAAGAACCCAGTGGAGCGGGGAGTTAATGAGGGCATCGATGGAATAGTTTTATACAAAAACCTGCGAGGAACATTTTGTCCTAAAATAAGAACGGTCGAAGCTACAGAGCAGGCCAATAACACTTGATTTAAAAGTAGCCTTTCCAAATATTTTGTGTTACGTTACTTAGTTTTGCTGGCGAGGACGGAAAGTCAATAAGTAGGTTATAGACTTTTGATAATAGTTATTTTGCGGTTAATGATATAATGTATTCAAATGTATTGAAATGTGTTGGTAATCGTATGGCGACCGAGCACGAAACTAAATATCCACAGATTATCAAGTTACTTGCAGTTTCTGTTCTTTAACTTATTCGTGTTTTCATTTTCTGACAGGTGTTTGCACAAAAAACATCCCCTTCGTAAATTAAATATTGAAATGTCTACAGAGAGTCAGAGCAAAATAAACTTCATGTTCTTTCTCGAACGAGCAGGCCTTAAAAGCAATATTTACTGTCTTTATGGAAACGATAGCATCGCCTCGAGTCACAAAATTATCTGATATTTGCCTTAAAATTATTCGCTAAAACTCGGGGTACAAGTCATGATAAGTGCTTGCCAAGAAACTGACCGTGCAGATTGATAGATATCATTTTCCACTTCAAACATAAGAACAGGTATTGCCGGGCATATACGGCCAACAGACACGGTGCTTTAAACCAGGAAAATGTGATGTAGTTTATCCTCTTAGTATTAAGATCCATTTGACTGTTAAAATGTCTAAACCTGTACATGCATGATGCATAAGGAGTAAGTTTGTTTTGAGATTGCGTCCGAAGCTTTTATCTGTTAATCAGTTGACAAGACCTCGAAAATGAAGTTGAAAGTAACAAGTTTTATCCTTGGTTCGACTGATAAATCCTGTGCAATTAAAGCGATTGGTTCTAGAGAGCGATTTCTCTGAACTAAATTAGTGTCCTCGCGCTATTTCATTAATTAATTGGTGACGTCGTGTTGACAGGCGGAAATACTAAACATCCTCTGTACAGACGGCCATTTGTGACGCCTTACATGACGGGTGGGCCAAGGTCTCAAACTTAAAACTCTTCTCTCGCTCTTATACCACGCCGAACAAGTCGCAAAACCACCTAGAGAAACAGTTTAATTCATAGTGAGTGTTTTGATGTACTTTCGGGTTTAATGCAAGCGTTCGCTCGGTCGTTTCAATGGCCTGGGAGTTAACCGCAACGACATCTGGATGGCAGCCATGTTTGTACTTCACCTCCTCTCATTGTTAAAGTGCCGTATTTTTGAGGCAAAGTCGGGCGATTACTCTTTAAAACTATCCTTCGATCAGGACGGACTGATTTTCCCTTTAACTGAGGTTCAAACCCGCGTTTGAAATGGTTTCCATTTGCTAGTATGTTAATGGCGGCCTCCTTAGTACTACCTTGTGATATGGACTCGCCAAACCTTTGATAATTCAGTTCAGTGTAAAGTTTCAGTGGGAATTCTTTATGGTGGTGTGTGTGTATTGAATACAGGTTTTATCTCGATGTCTGGGCGGTCATCTGAGCAAGAAAGCCGACCTACAGCTGACCAAGAAGAGACACGAGTACCGACCTTGAAGAGAGATCTTAAGAAAGGGGGAACCTCGAGATCTGCCAAGCCACTATCAACTGCTGTTAAAAGGTAGACCACGGGAACATAATCTCATTACTTCTACCATGAATATCCAACGCCGCATTGTAAAGGAAAAGTTCTTTACACCGTGCTGGCACTGTAGCTGCGCTTGCAGGTAGACTCGTCTCACGGATCGTTGTAGCGTGTATTGAATTGTAACGACTAGTTCGTGTTCACTTGATGCTCAATTTGATCTGTAATTTGCATGTTAACTTTGCGAAGCCCGCTTGCATTGAAAATTTGCCCGAATGCGCTAAAAATTGCATCGATCTTGAGGGAATGTTGGCGAAAATCGCCTGATGTGATCAAATTGAGAAAGGGTGCTTTGATTTGGCGAAAGCAAGCGCGAGATTAGTAACACGGCTGGGAAATGTTTGTGTTGCTGATATTGACGGAAGGCCTTATCTTTGTTTGTCTTAAACAGTTGAAAATTGGAACTATCAGTTCTTCGGCCAGAAAATTAGACTCAAGCAACTTTCTCCCTTTGATACATGGTTGTATTTCTATTTCCAGAATTCAGAGAGAATTAGCTGAAATCACGCTGGAGCCACCTCCAAACTGCAGGTAATTTGCTCCCAACACACAAGACGCCAGCCCTTCAACCTCTTGTTTGGAAAACAATGGAATTGCGGTTTTTGTTTCGTGAATAGAGGATTTTGAAACTTCCATCAAAAGCTCGCGCGACGGCGCAATTTCTCAATTTCTTTGCAAAAACAAAACTTCGGACCCAGAAAAATTCTTCAAAATTTAGGAAAAGCGGATTGAGTCAATTATTCTCGAGTGATAAGGTCATTTAAGGAAGGTATTTTAAAGTGTACGAAGGCTTTGTTTCCAAAGCCAAAACTAATTATGCGCCGCGGCTCATTGTATATTTTTAGACTGCTTGACTATATGAGGGAAACTGTTCTATCCTCCACTGCTTATTTCAGGTATTATATCACAGAAGAATTAGGCCGTATCAGGACTTCTTACGAGGTAGATATCGCTCCGTATTTCTCGACACGGGCTGCCGGTTCGCAGACGCAGAGGTTCGCGATCTAGATTTGTTCATAATTTATGCAAAGATGATGTTAACACCTGCCTCGTATCAACTGGGTCGTTCCGACACGAGTTGACATAACAACTGGCCATTGCATAGTACCTTTCAACGACGTACGTCGTTCTCGCTGCTCGGAGTCGTGGCTACGAAATCTGGCGAATGTGCACCATGATATAGCCAATTTTATCACAAATGCCTTTAAATGATGAAAATCTGCAATTTTCCCATTTGAGCCAAAAAATTAAAAAAAAAAAAAAAATTATTCACCACACGATTCTCCTTTCACCGTTGAATGGGTCAGTTGACAGCTTGCTCAATATAACCATTGCTCTGAAAAACATACAGCATATTAAATTAATAAAAACTGAAACTCAACTTTACTTCACTTCACTGAATGTTGTTAGTTCAAGGCGATTTGAACCTAGAAATTCTCATACTTCTATAACTTTCTTTGTAATAATCTGGTTTTCAGAAAAGGTCCCCTTTCTGAAATACTCAGGTTTCTTTGTTTGGTTGACTGTCTGCTTAAAACTGAGGTGACAAACTGACCAATGAACTTTTAACGAGGCCTATGCATTTGACTGAAATTTGTGTACAAGTGTCATGCACGGAAAGTGATCTCGACAGGTGTTAAATCTGCAATTCATCAAAGTGTGGCCTTGGCGATTTTCCGAGGATACAGCTCTTTCTTTCATGAAACACTCCCAGAGACAAGCGGTGTATAATAACTGTGGTTTTCTGTCGATGAAACACTAGTGTGTGACCATTTAAATCAAGTGAACAGTTATCGAGCAGTACTTCCGGCATATGGGAGTGTTGTACTAGTTGGTTCTATAAAGTTTTATGACTGAAGATGCCTTAGCGTGTGACCATTCAAATGAAAGCTGTTGAGCAGTACTTTCATGTGGTACTGTTTATTATGCTGTATAAGGTGGTTCTAACTTTTAAGTCTGTGGATGAAACCCTTGTGTGTGACCATTCAAATGAAAGCTATTGAGCGGTACTTTCATGTGGCACTGTTTATTATGCTGTACAAGGTGGTTCTAACTTTTAAGTTTGTAGATAAAACCCTAGCGCGGCCGTTCAAATTAAAACTACTGAGCAGTACTTTCATGCATATGGTACTGTTTATTATGCTGTATAAGTTGACACCAACGTTTGACATCATTTGGGGATGATTCAGCCCTAATTATTGTGTTACCGGAGAGCAACTGAACGGTGGTTTGTCGTTGTAATCTTTGTATTTTACAGCTTTATATTTAAAGCCATTACGTCCTCTAGTAACATAAGATTATTTTCCACTTCATCCAAAAGATGGACATTAAACTGATCCACAATTTTAAGGTGGAAACAGTTTGTGTCGGATATCGCTGAGGTATAATCCGCGGAACTAACGTAGTCGTGTGTATTGAAAGGTCGGTCGGGTCATCTCTTTTACCGAGATTTCCAGATGTTTACAAACAGGTTCTTAAACTATCGGAAAGCGTCAACCCAAACAAACATCAAAAACTTGATTTCTCTTCACTTAGTGAGAGGTGCACGTAACGAGAACAAAAACATTCATGAAACAGGAAAAGCAAAGCAAAAATTGCACCATTTTTGCAGGAAACGTGGGGAACATTTGCCTCTTATCTTTGCTGTCAGACTTCATTGTGGTTACCAGTTGAAGATTATTAAAATACCTGATGATTGCTTGTTGCCGCTTGCCTCGTAATTGATATCTTTATATTTTTGCTTTTCGCAGCGCTGGACCAAAAGGTGACAATCTTTACGAATGGAACTCAACAATCCTTGGTCCCCCGAAATCAGTATACGAAGGGGGAGTCTTTTTCCTTGATATTCATTTTCCAACGGATTATCCGTTTAAACCACCAAAGGTAAGAAAGAAAATATTAGCTTATACGGATTTAGGTATTCAAATTATGTCTGATAAAAGCACTGTTTCACGAAAGGGTTTGGAGTATTTTTAATCCTGATTCCAGAAGTTTTTTCTAAACTCAACTCGAACCAGGGTTACGGCACAAGTTTTTTTTCGTGCCGAGATGAGACAAAAGTAACTGACTTCTGTGAACAACGCGTGTAATTTCATTTACTGTGACATTTTGAGATTTATGACGTTTATCTCATTAAACATTCAATTGCATATCCCTTGGTTTAGTGAAAATTAAATCGTTTATTGAACTAAGAATAATTTATTTATCAATACAAGAGGAAAATTCTGAAAGCTAGCTAGTTATTTCCAATGTTTCTTAATAAAAATGCACTGTTTTCGGCACAGAAAAAAAACTTAGGTTTCAATTTGTTCAAACGACTTTCCTTAAATTAAGCTCAGTAATCATGGCTTTTATTTAATGCCGGGCAAGGGTTTGAAGTATATTTTGATGAGAATAAAATTTTCTTTATGTTTTTTTTCAGGTTACTTTTCGTACAAGAATTTATCACTGTAATGTCAATAGCCAGGTAAGTTAGCTACTCACAATACGAAAAAAAAAATAATAATGATAATGATTATTTGAAATTTTACTACAAGACTATCGAAGGACTCGCAAATGAACTCGACCCGGGGAAATCGTTCGCACGCGGGCGAATTCTGACGTTTGGAAGACGAACGTTTCAAACTATACACTCTTTACTTTTTATAAAAATATCTTTTATAAGAATATCGAGGCTCAAATTTGCGAAATTTTAAAAATATTTTAAGAATAAACCCGAGGCTGAGATTTTGAAAAGAATATAATGTGTGTTAAAAATTTGTAAATACAATATAATTAATACGTTTTTAACTAAACGTATAAAACACGTGCCTTGATATAAGATTCTTCCTTTCTCTAAACGGCAAAACTAGCCAAAAAGCGACAAAAACTGCACTAGCCGTGTGCTCGGTGCTAATAACCATTTCTGCAAGAAGCGGTGTGCGTGATATGAGGCTTTAATGCCTGCAGGCTGGCTCCACACGGTGAAAATTACTTCAACACCATCCAATTGTTGTTTTTAGTTGGGTCATCAGAGTCACTTATTTCAAAACTCTCTAAAGTCGCGTCAGAAACAGTCAGGGCTTGTTATATAACGCTGTAGATGTGGTCGGTTGATTGTAAAAAGAGATAACAATGGAACAACACCAATAAGTCAATTTTATTGGAACAATGCTCAATTCTATGCCAGGAATAATCTAGTTCAGCGATTTCCCACTTGAAAAATGTATTACAACAACAACAACAAGCTTTATTTCCCCTTGGATTAACGAAAATATATATTTTTAGAAGGTCTTATATTAATAGAGTTGGAGACCGGGCTACCTGAAATAACTAGAGAGTTAAAAAGGGCAGACAGCCAGGTCTACAGATGTATTAATACAAATTTAATTAATTAATTACTAAATGGGCTAAAGCAACAAATTTCCAAAATGGCGGATGTTGGTGACATCCTCAACTCCTACTACTGCTAGAAAAGTGTGAAAGTTTTAGCCCAAGTGATTGAAAATCGGTTTAAGTTTTTAAAACAAAAATAAGAGATAGTTAGAGGGTTTTTCGAGATATTAAGAAAACTTTTTTGAGATATTTATATATTTTTTGAGACTTCCGGAAAGATCGATATTTAGGCGATTTTAGGTGATATTTGTGTGGAAAGGCTTAATTGACACTTCAGCACAACAGCAAAGTGATTAATGGGTTTCTGCTGACAAAAAATAAATAAATAAAAATGACTGCAATAGAACCTTAAGGTTGGTTTTCACTAGGGGATAAGCATAAACACAAGTGAAAACAGCCGAGACATAAACATAAGCATAAGCAGAAACATAAGAAGAACGAACCCACTTATTTGTCTTGTGCAGTTTTCATACAAATAAAAAATCGTCCAACGCATTCCTAAAATACACACCAGAGGTTAATGTACTTCAGACAGTTCAGACTTACTGAGCTAGACATAAATAACTGTAACGTAAATAATTTAATTCGTTTAAAAAACCTCGTCAGTTAATCTAAATAAGATTTAACGATAATGTCAGGAGAAAATAAGGCTAACCGAGAGAATACTTGCAATAAAGGAACACGGACAGTTTGAAGCCATGGTTTGAGCTGTAAGAGCAAGAAAAAAGTCGAGAACAGTTTAGAATACTGTCGCTGATTCTGTAAATACAAAGCATAATTTTAGACCACGCACTTGACAGTTCAATGGTAAAATGACACAGTGTTTATTTCGCCACAATCTGATCATCTTCGAGACAGTATAAACACCAATGTGTTATCCTTTCTCATTTGTGTCTAAATTCTCGATCTTTCTCTGATCTTTGGAAAAAATTGTTAGCCTGAAGATCAACATCGTGGTATCCTTCTCAATATCGCCAAAAGGAGATGTTGAATTTCTGGTATGCAGTGAGTCACAGTGTAGTTTTGTTTTGTGTGTTGGGTCAATCAGTCGCGCGACAGATTAAATTTAGTCAAGAGGTACAAATTAAAATAGGAATTCAGTTTTTGACAGCACTCGATTGTGATAAGTCATAATGATAAATATCTGCTGCTAATTTTATCAGTTATACAATACATATTTTTATAACCCTTGGTGTGTAAAAATAAACCGATGTTGTTTCTTGGTTTTGTTACAGGGTGTGATCTGTCTGGATATTTTAAAAGATAACTGGAGCCCAGCTCTTACCATCTCTAAAGTTCTTCTTTCAGTATGTTCGCTTCTGACGGACTGCAATCCAGGTAATTGAACTTTTTATTTTACTGTAACGATTAAAATCAAGAGGAACGGGCGACCGATTCTTTGTGTTTTCAAAGTGTCTGTGAAGAGGATAAAGTTTTGAACGACCAGTAGGAAGTAAAACAATTAGATTATTCGCTCTCGAATTCTATGCGTGATAGATGACTAGGGCTGTGCCCTCGTCAACTATCACGAGATAGAAAACTCGAGCTCATAATCTAATTGTTAAATATCAGTTTATAAGTACACAAGTGTATATAGAAGTATATAAGTATAGAATTACATCATTTTTCCTGAACTTAATTCAGTTAAATTTATACGTTGCATGAACTCATACTCCTTCTTAAAATATAAGTTTGTTCAAATATTATTGTTGTTTTTGGGTATTTCAGCGGATCCTTTAGTTGGAAGCATAGCTGCTCAGTATGTCTCTAACCGGGAAGAACACGACAAAACGGCGAGGGAGTGGACCCGAAGATATGCCACATGAATAAAGATAATAACATATTGATCACTTCTAATCTTTGTAAATAGCTCAGATGTAAGAACTAAGACGCCTCAGGATTCAATTGACCTTATATTGCCGCGAACAGGTTTAAATTGCATGCTTTTCTGCGTCGCAGTAAACGAAGAAAAATTCAAGAAGAGTGTTGAAATCGCCCCATGGGAACTGGGGGGCAAGAAATTCATGACCTTGTCTCCAGTTTCCACGCGCCGATTTTCTTCTCCCTCGTGTTTCGTCCACATTCGGCAAATGAACGATTTAGTTGCTTTTATCGATGGCCGATACAATGCGAGATACGTACTTGAATGGAAACTAAATGCTTTCGCTGCGATTTAATATAGGTGCGTCCCGAAAGAATGCAAGATTATTTAATTTAAAATGACTATGAAATGTTTAAGCAAGCAACCGGAACGATGATCCAGCTGGTATACGTTGGATCAATAGTGATCTAATCGGCTTTACATATAAAATGAAGAATACAAAAGCAAAAACCGACACAAAGTAGGATGATTTTTTGAAGGTGTATTATATTTCGGCTGGCCAAACCAGCCTTCTTCAGGTACAATGGAAAATTTTACATTGGTACGTGTTTTTATGTAGCCGATATTTACGTAATACCGGAAATACGCAAAAGTAATTGATAGTGTAAATTAAAGGTAAGCATACGGTAAAATAAAATAACATGATAAAAGAACATAACAAAAGAAAACAAATGGAAACAATTAATATGTTTCTTCGTGGATATTCAGACCATTAGGATCAATTGTTCTGCCTTTTTGAATTAAAAAAGCTTCCCTGGCCTTACGGATAGAGTCTCTGAAGAAGGCTGGTTTGGCCAGCCGAAATATAGTACACCTTCAAAAAATCATCCTACGTTGTGTCGGTTTTTGCTTTTGTATTCTTCATTTAATTTAACGCCGGGTCGGCGAGTGCACACACCGGCCCTCAAGATAGTTCAGCTTTAACAATATTGATTTAAATTGCGGCTTAAAAGATTATTATTGTGTAATTTAATTTGTAACGGTTCCGTTGAAAATGAATAAAGAGGAAAAGTACAATACAGTTTGCGTCCATTTGAGAATTTATTGAGTAACCATAACATGCAAAACGAGTGCAGATATTCCACGGTCTTTAAACTCGACGAGGACGAAGAGAGTTTTATGTAGACTTGTTAGACATTATGACCGCGCTAAGGCCTGGTACTCAGGCTACCGCGGGTCAACGCGACGACAGAGACAGCAATATGCAATAATTCACCCTCGGAGACCCAGGGGCAGTTAGCTTGGCGGGAGGGAAAAAAACGGCAAACTGAATTTAAAAAAATGAAATTGAAATTGAGGCTTCGAAAAATCAAAACTTGTAAACTTTCGACGCTTTAATTTTCTTCCCTTCTTAACTAACTGCCCTTTGGTCTTCGAGGATGGTAATAACTGTGATAAATTGGCCTGCTCTTAGCCAATCACAATGAAGCAATTTTCTCAGTCGTATAATGAATTATGTTGCTCTTATGACGTCACAAAACCACTGGGGGTCATCTGTCGGGGAAAAAATCGCATTATTGAAAAGACAATTTTTCTTCTTTATAACCATATACTTCCGTACTTCTCTTTCTTTGTTTGGCTGTAACACTTAAGAAAACAACAACTCAGAAAAGGAGATTTTAAAGTGTTAATCTCTCCCTAATCTTGTTCTCTAAAATTTTACCTCCTTGGTAGTTATCCATCTTGTTAAGCGATAATGTCTTAACTTAAAAAACCTCTTAATAACTTGTTCCAACCTTACTCCCCCGGCCCGCATCAGGATATTAAATCAGAGACACTCAATAGAATAAAACAAGATTACTTCTGAAAAGTACTAGAGATCTCTTGAGACGATGTTTAACAGACAAAAACCCGGAAAATAGTTGAAAAGTGGTCAAAACAGCACGACCACATGCACAAACGCACGCGAAGTGTCGGAATCACACAGTCTGCCGACAGGAAAAGCTGTAAAATACAGCTTCCGTTTTCTGTCACCTCAAGTCACGAAATGGCAAGCTCATGACTAATTGAATTAAGCATTCAAGGGTACTTTAAGGGTACGGGTATGTTTCTTTTATTTTAACAAATTTTAAGAAAGTTCTTTTTGATCAGAAGGGGACGTGACATGAAAAGAAAATGGCTTTTGTGTGACAGTAGATTACGTTGGTTTTTTCAAGTTTATCAATATCGAACAAGATGTTAACTAATATGCAAGTTTTAAAGTTGTGTATTTCAACGAAGCACATCAAAGCATCTATTTAGCACAATAGAGAGGATTAACACAATTGGATTAGGAAATGATCTCGTTAATTAAGTTAGCTTGATAAAGGGCAGGAAACCCATCAAAGACTGAACTTAGAAAAAAGAAAAAAATATAAAGGAACAAGTGATCGAGCGTGGAAGGAAAAAAAAAAATCATTATTTCATGATGTTATCAATTGTACAACCAATTGTATGCCTTATCTTATTGCAATACCGGCATTACATCAATAGATCTTCATGGGGTGGTCAGTTTACAGATGATGGCCGAAAACACAAAAACAGAAAGAAAAAAAGCTTTTTGTCGGTCAAGGGTTTTAACTAACTCTAATCTGATGTTTGGTGATGGACATTAACCCTTGCCTAATGGTTGAAGGTTTAATTGCAAAAGCTTCATTACTGAAGTATCTCAGTTGAAATTTGAGATTCGAAGAACATGGGTAGGCGCTTGAAGCCAAGGACTTATTTAGTCCGTGTGGCGAAGAAGTATCGAGAAGTCGTGAGGAAGTGATAATTTTTAAATCAAAAAGTTTAATTTCCTGTATGGTGAACCACTAGATGTCCGTATCTTGGTGCCAGGCGAGATCTTATATCCGGCACACTGGACTGCTTTCCTTCATATACAACTAAAGTTTTCAATTCTATTTAATTTCTTTAAAGCGGCACGTCATAGAGACGAGAGGACGAAGCACACGTGTTTCAGAAGCATTTTCGACAGGTCGAATTCCCCAGGAACCTTCGCATAGTATCTGTTGAAGGTATGGAAACTGAGATGAATCGTATACTATAACACTGGATAATTTAGATTTTATAAATCTCAACTCCTAACTGGACCTATTTTAAGAGACTGGTTTAAAACTGGATCATGAATGCAATTACTCAATCGCTCGCTAAGCTTATAGTTTGTATTTTTGATAGTTCTGAGCTAATATTAAAGCTGGGCGACCTTGTACCAGCAGCCTGTCAACTCGAGCTCCACATATTAGAATTCGGAGGCAAAGCTGGCCAAGAGAAAAAATTCACCGGGGAAAGCAAATATTCCATTCATAAAATGATGGTTTCTTGGAATTTATTAAAGTGTGGCTGCCTGAGAGACTGATAATCAGTTTGCAAAATTTTCTCCTTTTGGAGTGTTTTACATTCCTCACTATCATTTCATTAGTCAAACTGGTTTATAGCAGGGGCCCATATTATAAATTCGGTAATTAAATATCCTGCTTTTACTTAGTCTCCTTCGCAGCCGTAACAAGGGTCGTCCTTCACGCAACTCGCTGCGTGACGACCCTAATAAGCCACCTTTTGACTCGTCTTAGTTTGCCTTTTACCAGAAAATTGTACGACGCGTGGGATGACGGGAAAGCCGCTCGTTTCTTCCCGTCATCCTCCCTGTCTAAGAATTTTGTTCACAATGTACAGGAGACTGGGCATGAGTTTACACACCGATGCAATGAAACAGTGTTTCTATCAGAATCTGATAATTTCATTAATGTTCGATTTCTTATAAAAAGTCTCAACTGAAAGAATTGCATTCGTATGAAGATTGTAGACTGTGTTTTTCAATTTCCGACTCATGGGTCAAATACTCACGGAGATCAGAGAAATGTATGAAATTTTTATTTTATTTCTGATTCTAAATTCAGGTAGTTTTGGATTTGAGTTAAAGTTTGATTTAAAAGTATTTTGGACCAAATTTGAAACGTAATACCATTTTACTGAAGTGTCTCGTGACGAAAAGCTTTCCACCGAAGGTCACGCAATGTGAGTGGCATGCTCTGATCATTAAGTCACGCTAGTCGTTTGTAAACTCCTGAGACAAAGAGTTCATAAGGTCAGTCTGTCTGTCCAAATTATCAATTAAAGTGAATCAACTTCTGATTTCATGCTGCGAAAGTTTTTGGAACCACCTCATTCATTATCGACTAAATAAAAAGAGAATATCTGCAAATGAAGAGATTTGAAATCGAACAATCCCCATAACTGGCTTCTTTATAACCGAGCCCGTAACACACTCTGTGTCTGTAAAACAAGCAAAGCATCCATTAGTTAATTGATTAATTTCCTCCTAAGTGATTACCTCACACCTGACACATTTGATTTCAATGTACTTTCCAGAGTGTGTCTTTTTGCCGCGAATTAAAACCATTCATGGGATTGCGGTGAAAAAAGAAAAGAAACCTTGGTTATTCTGTGATAATGTTAAGAGTCGTTCGGTTAATGGTGAATCGCTGGGGTCATCGACCAGTTTTACTTTCTATCTGCTCAAGGTCGAGGCATTTCGTCAACCGAGTTGTGGATAAGTAATAAGGTAGGCCGCTAGAACAGAAGGAAATAGCACTGAGAAAGAAGCCTTAAATTGCCTACACATTGGGCCGCGGCAGCACATTTCGCTCTTCACTTGCACCAAAGCACTAGTTGTTGGGACCTCTCTTCTTCAATAGAGCCCTATTTACAAGGGCTCCGTAAGAATGAGTGTACGCTTTTTGCAAGCCTCCCTCGATTGACGACGTTAATTTAATTAGAAATAATGAATAACATACAAATAGCCACAGTACAATTGATGACCGAGTCAAACTGATCACTTCGTTTGCAGCCGATAAACATGTAACATCAATTCACGCGACCGCAAATGAGAAATCACGAGATCGCGAAATCGATATTGGGCTGAGGAAAATGACCTTCTTCGGAGAGGAATGGAAATTGAGTTAATAAAAAAGAATGATTTAACCTGTCATACTAGGTTTGGAAGAACGATTAAGTAACTGTAGATGATGTAGGTCTGAGGGCACATTCTACACGTCTGGGTAACGCAGAATCAATTAAAACAATCATAGAACACACTTGTCGAAGCAATCCTCAATTGACAATTCCAAATTAACCATCTCACTGGTCAGTTTATCTCTCTGCTGGACGTTTCTTCCTGAACAAAAGATGTCGTTGCTTTCGCCAGAAGAGATGGAGATTGTTTTTCTCACAAACAGCATGCCTTTTGACATTTCACGCTGAGCTGAACGACCCGTACTGTCTAACTCGGACAGACCTAAAGGCAAAACTGTTTAAGTTTTGATCATTAAAATGCTTGAGAATCAAGATGTGTTCCATACGCCAATGGAGTTCTCCATCCCTAGCCCTCAATTGCCTCATTTATTTCCCTTAACAGGTTTCCCAAAGCCAACAGCTAAACCAAACGGGTCATTACGGCCACCAGACAATCATCTAATTTTCAACACTTCTCCCCCGAAAAGGGGGTAACCGCTAAGAATTAAGGTCATTTTTTATTCGTTTTGACAGTTAGGGTCCCCGTCGGCCATCTGAAGCATTCAGTTTCAAAGGAATCTTAGAATTTGCTCAATGCTAAGTTTACGCTGTGTGGCCAGCTAGTGGAGACATGTGATTGAAGGTTAGTGAAGATACAGTTAACGAAATACTGATAAAACACTCTTATATTGAAAATGGAGTAGTTTCGGAAGTAGGTGTTTGAATGATACTCTTTTAACAAGGAGCGAGATACACGAAGAAATAACGATGGCTTAAGTCGCTAAAGATTGATTTAAACAAGCCGCCATTGACTGATAAACAACAGCTATTCGCAAAGCCGCTGTGTCGCTGCTTTTTCCATCATGCAGGGTTTTGATGAAGTGCACTTAGATTGCCTTCAGAACCAATGTTTGCTAATACCATAGCGTGGATATTGATGCTACATTGAGGAAAAATTTGAGGACGTTGAAATAATTCTTTGAGTTGCGTCTCAGTGTAAATTGCACATTTTCCGGGAGCGCAACAGTTGTTTGGCAACCGAAAAAAATCGATGTGGAATCGTGTATAAAGTCCTTAAAATAGCAAAACTTCAAAACACAACTGATGAATTGTTTACTGAACACTTTGGCAGCCACCCAATTAATTTCGATCAATTGTGTTAAGATACAAAATAATAACAGTCATATCCCATATGATTGGGTTTTAAAATTGTCAAACAACTGACTTCTACGAATATTTTTTCCACCTGCGCTAGAGTACTGCAAACTGACAAATAAACAACATTGAATTTATCGTACTTTATCAGCCAAGCTTTCCACTGCAGCAAACATATTTTGATCTCGATGTACATCTCGGATCAGTTACAAGACAATTTAGCGCTCCTGCGAACGCGGGTTTGTGGGAGATCTGTGAAAAAGTGACACCAGGGTGAAAAGTCTGAAAATGAACAGCTTTTAACCAACACTCATGAAAATAAAAGCCGAGTCACTACAGAACAGTGGCAACATTGTCTTGATGTAAAACAACATTCTCACAGCTAAGTAAACCACGATTAGTTGGGAACGCGTTGACCTTACATTTTGGTCGAGGGCTGAACCATTTTTTGACGGAATATACAGTGTTCCATATTTCTTGTGGGTTTTCTGTCGTTTTTGTATGCTTTTTAATTTTTGTGCACCGTCAAGTGAAAATTAATAATGAAATCGTAGAAGTGAATTTTACTCAGTGAAATCTGTGATTATATTAGAAACATCCAGGCTTTAATTGAGTTATTATTTTAATAAAAGAAGTTTCCCTAATGACGTCCAGTTGAAGTTATCAATTCAGTTATTTTTTTCTGTTGGAGGAAATTCAGGTGAAAGAGATAAACAAAACGCTTTCTTTGGATTATAGCTATCACAATGTTTTATTCTATTTAAACCTCTTTGGTATCTGAAATGAACCTCTCAAAACTTTTATCTCTAGTCCTTCTAAGAAACTGTGGAAAACTTAGACGTTCTGAACCGGAACTACAGCTTGCGAACTAACCCCAGAAAAGAGGAAAAACAGAACGTGAAGTTCATAACGTTACTAAACTTGCAATTCAAAAAACTGTTTCTAATTAACTTATTTGTTGAGCATAGCTCAATACTTACCCATGGCATTGCTACTGTCTAGAAAACAAGGAGACGACCCCAAAATAGTCCTTCAATGAACTTATCGGAACTTACTTTTATCAAAACCTTGTTGAGATTTCTATTCGTAGTGTCATAGTCTTATAATTCTTTCAAGTTGGTCTAGTTAACTCTGCGGAGACTAAATTGGTCATCACGGGCTGACAAGAGAATGAGATTCCATGGTCAGTAAAGTAATGCAGACATACCGTTTTTATCTTCAGAAGAGACAATGATATGTGGCCTTGTCGCTGCAAATGAGATCCATATGCTAGGCGAGATAATGAACCGTAATATATGTTTCATAACAGTTATACTCAAGCTGTTGTACAATTTGTAAGAACAGCATTGTTACTGAAGTCGCGTGCTATTATAAGCAATTACATTCGATCCAAAATCGCCCACAGATCATGTTAAATTGTTGTCAAACCTGTCAGATTTGTTTTTCATATAGTGGCCCGCGCATGAGTGGAATAATCACGCTTACGTGAGATACGTAACGGGCGAAGGAAATAAGTCATTTTTCGGCTTCCGTTTTAATGAGCTCTTGATTGAAGCTGAACATATGTTTGGCATATAGACCCATTTTTGATGCAAAAATAAATTGAAGAGGTTGATATTTCTTCTCCGTGCCATTAATGGCTGAACCTGATTGATCACCGATGTTACTGTCTGTCGAAATCGAGGTATGTTACATTTGTAAAAAACGCATTTTTTAAAGGTTATGTGATGGTAAGTACTTTGTTCAGAGCTCGTTAATATCGCTCGAGAGCTTCAATATGTTCTATTTTTAGTTCTTAGCATCGAGGACGAAAATATTTTAGCGCAGACGTGATAGAAATACGTACGAAGTAATCCCGGTTTAGCTCTTCCCGTTTAGTTCCGAAAATTCATTGTCATCGTTAGCTATTTATACTTGGCAAAACACAGTTTATATCTTTACCAGTCAAATGGCTGGTTCAGTCTTGTTAACGTTCCCTGTACCCTGAGGTTCAAGTCCGCACAAACCGTGGTTCGTCGTAATTGGGTTTTCAATTCAATTCCCAGCTGGTTCTTTCGATAAAATTCATCAAGCTTATCAACAGAAAATCTTAATTATCCTATTGCACCAGTGACAAACATTGGTTTCAGAGATAAACCCCATCAGCACATATACTTTTGCTATTATATGGACACGGTTACGGACTAACCGTGGCTTTCCCAGCAGGAGGGGTCGAGTGTTTAGTCTGTATAGGAATGCTATAAACAGCATTTATTCTCCATAACTTAAAATTATTCTAAAATTCGCGAAGCGAAAAGTTTCCTTGGCTTATTGTTTCAAAACCCAATCTTCAACTTCCAACATCCACGTCCCCGAAACGCTGAGGAATTTTTGCGTGGAATAATTTAGCCTCGGTTCGAACCGAAGCTTAGTTATTCCACACGAACATTTCTCAGCGTTTCTTTACTGTTCCTGAAACTCAGTGCAAAAGTTGTGTCGCCGAAAATAAGCTTGGTTATACTCGAGAGTAAAGGGAAGTTCGCACAGAGCAATTGTGGTGCGACGTACGGAATTCGCACGTTTGCCCAGTGCGTGTTGTCATTTCCTGTTACGTTATCAGCCGCAAATTAACTGCCGTTGTAAGTTTTCCATAAAACGGATATTTCTATCCCTAAACTTGGAAAATAGCTTTCTTTTCGCCGTTAAAATTGTCAAGGACCCTTAAGCAAGAGAAAGACCACATCGACTCACTGAGTTTCTGTCAGCATGTAACGAGGCAAGAAAATAAAATTATACTACAGTTTATCTTTCATGGGAAGCAAGGTCAAGTTGAAGAGGTGCACTACCCCGCGGTGATAAGAAACTGGAGCAGAGTTCTATTTTCAAGATCGCGGGAACAACTGAATTTATTATTACCAAGATAAAATAACATGGCTAAGAAAATATCTCGCTTTCGATATTTTAAACTGACCACCCAAGACGATTAGTTTAACAGCCTGTAGCTCAATGATCGGATAACTGATAAACATTAACATTGTAGGAAATATTGTGGGAATTTCTTTTCCTCTAACCGTTTCTTTCCGGGGGTAAGTAAAACAATTTTTTGACATGCTTGGGTTTGCTGAGGGCACTAAGTTAATTAGAATTTTCTTTTTTTTTAAGTTAAGAAATTTATCTTTTCACCCTAGGATCGTTTACATAAAAATTATCGGGAAATGCTATTGTTTTTTTGTTTTTGTTTTTTTTCGCGCAGTAAGTGTTTGATTTTGCCGGCTTGTAGATGTTGCATGAAATGAGTACTTTCTCCTCGATCGTTGCTGTTTCAAAAATTGAAGTTTTACTTAATTATGCGGTAGATTGCTAAGGATAACTTACTCCAACCCAAAATTCAGTTGTCGCAAAAGGGGTCGTTTATGACAGAAAAACTGTCTTGTTATGTTATGTTAAAAAAAAATGTTATGTTGATGAAAGGACGAAAAACAGTCTTATATACATTATTATACAGTTGAAACACGGATTTGGTTACGATTGTTATATTTACTGTAAAACAACAAAATATCCTTTGTGAAGAGTGAGTCTGAAAAAAAGAAATGAATTTCCGGCTTAGGAAAAGGTTGAAAAATAGCCAAAATTCTTTTACTTTATTTTGCATATGGTAGTTCGTCTAAAGAACTGTACCACTAAAACATAAAAATATAGTTATCACAGAATCCGATAGTTATATCCTCACTTCCTAAATTTTTGTCGGGCAGTGGTTATTCGACTTTTAAGATGTACTTTCCTTCCAAAACAACGAGTTATTTAAAACTAATTAACATACATATTTACTGACCTTAGGTCATATTGCGTGGTCTTAAACGGCAGCGGTATTTGCCTATTATAGCCGTTTAGTATAATTGCATTAAGCTCATCATTCATTAGAACTGTCTGAAGTTAAAAAGGATTCTTCTCAGCTTTTATCAATTGTTGAATAAGTGCAACTTGGCTGTATTTTTTAAGAATGATTTTTGTTTTCGTACTTGAAGATCAGACTGGTATTTGTTTATAAAGAAGCAACTTAGCTTAGCTAAACAATATCGTAATTGAAATGCTCAAAGACCCTCCGCTTTTACAGAATACCGACAAAGGCTGTGCTTGTGCAATAGCGTTACCCCGAAATTAACACTTCACCAGACCTGCCTCGTGTTAACCACCATTAAAAACCGCTACTATTGTGCAACATCAAACAACGTCGGCAATAACACAGCAAGCTGCGTGTTTAATCCGTTAATATCAACAATGGAAAAACCAATAATTTGTTTACCGCAGAAACGTTATATTGTCATCATCGGTTTCCGGAGAGCTTTTATTGGTGCGGATTTAGCGCGTTTGTCGTCATTTCCAAAACACTTCACTGCTGGAAATGTGCAAGTAAGTCGCGAAAAGCGGTCACTCAAAGGCTTACTGGCTTGAAGTCTGTTGACGGGGTTTTTCTAATCGGACTGTTATGGAATGCTTTGATCATCTCATCTTTTATGAGCATAGCTGTTACGAAAAATAAGAGTTCTTTCCGTAAGTGGATTGCACAGATAAGGACTTGAAAATTTTGTAATGCAGCAAGTATGTGGAGATAGGAAGTGGGTAAAATTTACGTATGTATTCAAGGATTGTCGCTATCGCTAATAGACTTATAATAGTGGTAATTAGTTATCTGTCCTACTTGCTTATTTTCTCCTTACAATGTAACGAAGTTTTGTATATTGTTGTGACTGGATTTTGGTGCAATGTTCAAAGGCTGATTTGACTATTTTCTATGGATTGACAAAGTTGAAATTATTCTCTGCTGTGTTGATGTTTGTAAACACAGCGGCCTTGTGAACACAGCCAAGACTGATGTCTTTACGAACTCTATCGACCGTGAAATTTCGCGTCGAACAACAAAAAGCCTTTTATTTCACAGACTAAAGAGCTAAAGTACAATGACAGAATCGCTTTGAAATTTTCGGCAAAATGAAATATTTCGTGTGTTCTTTATGAGCTTTTAAAAGGAAAACACCGCAAAAACACGTCAAGTGTAAGCTTCCCCGGGGAAGTTGAAAGTATGCATACAAAAAAACAAAAATTTTTTAAATGCTTTCTTTTATTTCATGTAGTGAAATAACAAAAGTGGAGTTACACACCCGAATGAGGTAATGGCCTGGTATAAAGCAAATCGGGGGCGACTTGACGAAGGCCGTTTGTCCGGGCAAGCTTAGAGAGACGATCTCGGAAACAACGACAAGAATTCAACTTGTTCAGGTCTCAAAAAAACCAAATGGAGTGGAAAATGGTAAGTTACTTTAAACTGCAGAACTTTTAATCAATAATTATTTCATGACTGTAATAATAAGAGGAAAGTTTAAGTTCAATTGGCGAATAATATCACTGTTACAAAAAGTCAGTGATGGACTCTGGAATTTCAATATTGCTGACAAGTGCGCGAAGCAAGAAATGCTTTTCATCAAGTGCAGTGAGATCAAACGGAAGTTTTCGAGTATTGCTCTCAAGCCAATGTTCCAATATTTTTAAAACAAAAAGGCGCGTGTGTCTCTCAGTATTATTAGAATATAACTGCTTCGTCATTTCAAAGGCTAAAATAATTGAGGCATCACCCCTCCTTCACCGGAGCACACAATTCTACAATATAAAGCCGTGAAAGAAACGCTCATAACATTATGTTTAGCTTCTTATATAACATTTCGGGGCCACAGAGAAAAATATTCCGTATTTGGATTTTAAAAAAATCTTTTTTGTGGATTAGCTATGTAATGCTCAACAACGGAACGGCAGAAAAAAATTAGAGAGTAAAATTTAACATTCACCAGGGATATTGCTCGTTGAAACTTTCTTTCAGACAAAATACTTAGAGCCAACTTCCCCCCCTCCCCCCCCCAAAAAAATCATACTTCAGCAAGTTTTCCCACAAGTTTTGATTATTGCGATAAACTTTTTTTTTTAGAAATAAATGAAATGACAGTTAATTATTATTGTAGTTTCTTTCGAAAACTCTAAGAGTTCTTTGTTGTTTGAGAAGTTTTGTCATTGTATAGCATTTTGTATCGCACTTGTTAGCACAACTTGAGTTATATTGATTGTAACGGAACTCTAGTTCATCAACACAATCAATGACGAAAATTGGAGCTGACCGCTCTCTTGACCTCTATAAGTGAAAAAAGAAAAAGAACCTTTAGATTTCTTTGCCTTTATGGCATGTACCACTAGATGTACGGAAAAGGTACCAATGATTTCAGTACAGTTTGCTGAGAAGCTTTGGAAGCCAAAAAAACGTTGTTTAAAGCGCGCTCTATGCTTTTTGTTGGTTTTCCACGTGCGTGCATCAATAATATAGCAACGTCACATTCTTTCAAATTTCAAGAAATCTAAGTCAGTGTATGCGCTTCGTGATTAACTAGAAAGCAGCGGAAAGACCTTTTTTTTAACATGATAAGCAATGAAATTAACAAGCTAACGTCACCTCTTTAGAAACGTCCCGATCGTGAATGACGTCATAACGCTGTGGTTGCATGGAAATACAGTGGTTACGGCATCTCCAAAAGATATGCATGTAAGCGACACCAACTGTCTCCAAGACATTTTTACTAATCCTAAGCTTTCGTTATTCTGCCAGATACTTTTATGTATAATAGCGTTTATTACAACGACAAGACTGTCCGGTGCTAAGGCGAGAGGAAAGCTACGAGGAAACGGTAATGGATTGAGACTATATAAACTAACTACACGAGGAAACTGTGATCCACATGCCCCGCCAACACATCGACGAATGGCGCGCTTGTGGAGTAAACTGGGATTTCATCTTGCAGTATTATCCAATGGTACACTACATGGAGTGAATAACACCTACTGCCGACAAACTAGCAGATGTAAGAAATAATTCATGATATGAATTTATATTGTAGATGGTCATGACCGTTGGGAAACTTAGTTGTTGCCTAACTCAAAGGGTACTAGAATCTTAGTTATCTGCTAAAGTTTCGGGGATTTTTCACTGCTATCAGTTCAAATTTCAGGCCATTTCTCAACTGTTAGTAAATTTCGCAGACCTTGGATCTCAATCACTTAAAGTACAAATATCACTTCTCAGCTGACAGCGAAAAATTAAACCAATTCTCAGCTATTAGACAGCACACATAAAGGCCCTCTAACTCTTGTTTTCTGTGGCATTGGAGGTTTATCGCTACTCCCCACTGGGCCGGATGCTAGTCCATTGCAGGTGGTTCCCAAACCAAGGGATTGTCTCTTGCCCAAACCTAACCGTGTTCCCTCACTTTTCTTTGGCTTTCGGACTGGACTTCTGGAGTCGAGTCAAAAAAGCAACGGATTAAACTGCGTAAAGAGGCTGTACCAAATCGTGAGGTTTTCAGCACGTGAGCGACATGCTTCTTAAGTTCCTTAGCGAGACATATCAGCCATTTCGGCCGACTGGAAAATTTTAATTTCATGCGCTGTGCAATATACTGCTGATCATTAAGAGTATTGATCATTGCATCCTACGCTCAGACGTCTGCTATTGTAGTCACCATATCTTGTATTCAGCAAAGGCATTCACGCAATACTTTTGTCTGCGTGGGAGGCTAATATTAGCAGGCCTGCGACAATCGGGTCCATTTACAATTGTTTTAAGAGTGTTTCCAGATCTTTGACTTGAACTGAATGAATCTCTTTGCTGTGTAAGTAAAGTCCATGTACATAAAAATTTCACGGAAATTTGGTCAAAGTTGAGGATCAAATCGAATGCCAGCTTAGCCTTGACACCTGTATCACTGCTATCTTGCCTAACCCATCCTGCCCGTGAAATAATAATAATAATAATAATAATAATAATAATTAATTGACTCACTAGGGCTGGTTTAATTCACGATTTTCTCACAGTTTTCATTGCCTGTTGTTTACGAAACCGTTCTCCGAACTTGGCAACGGACACGACACTAGCCTCTATCCTTTCTTCGTACTTAATCGAGTAATTTTCCTTGAAATTAATATCATTATCCTTCGCAAATTCTATTTCAGGTCTGTTTGAGCTTCAGTCGTGTGGCACAAGTGTTATAAGAATAAAAAACGTTCAGTCAGGATTATTTGTTGCTATCAATAAAGCTGGAAAAGTCTATACCACTATGGTAAGTACTTCTAAAAATTTTTTTTTTTTCAATCAAAAAGTTTTGAAGGCAATGAAAGATCAGTGTACATCGAGGAAGCAGGAAAATTATTAAGCGGGTAAAGATAAAGTTATAATATATCTAATTGGCCATTTATCGCGAGAGGCAGGCTGAAACGCAATATCTGCGTTACACCCAAAAGGTAAGATTTGTACTCTGCCGCAATCTGGGAGAGCAAAATCAACGAAATAAAACGCTCACCCAATATTTGATTTCGTCTGGTGTGTTAAGACTTTCCCGTTCTTCAAATTGTGAAAATTGTTCCTTTTTCTGCCAAATCCAAGTCTTGTTGTTCATTCTTTAATTACGTAGTGTACTTTTTACATTGAAAAGATATGTTCTTGACACATCGACCGCAAACATCTTACCCATAGCTTAGAAACGTCCAAACTTTAAGCTATTACACAACCGGTTCAGTTTTCGATAACAGTTTGATATTATAACTTGTTATCACGCCCGTAGACTCAATTAGCCTAAAACATTTACGAAGATCAACACAATCAGTAATGATCTTTGCTTGTGTTTCAACAGAAGAGCCATAAGGCGGATACAATGCTAATTCAAGAGCTTCGTTCAAATGGTTTCACTGTGTTCTGGTCGGAAAGAATTTTCAGAAAGAAAAGTTCCATGAGGTTCCTTGCTCTGAAGAAAAATGGCGCAATAAAAAAAGCTTCTAAGCCAGAACTCAAACACAAGTCTGTACAGTTCACGGTAATGCTTTGCTCAAGACAACAGAGACGAAAATCTTCAGCCGAATGTCGAATTTAGGACAAGACAAAATATCATTGGATGCAATCATTACCAAGCAAGGCTGACTGAAAACGCGAGCCTCGATTTCAAGCACACGTATCATCCTGACGTCATCTCTGTCCAGTCCAATCTCGTCCCTTCTTTTATGCGTGGAAGAAAAAAAAGAGCTGGAAACGAGATTGCAGAACATCAGCGAGGGATTTATCAAAACCAAACGAACATTGTGTACAATATATTTATTGAATCAATCTTGGAGTCTGTACAGCTAAGAAAAATACACCCAGCCATTCGTCAATGGCTTTCCAGCGCTGGTTGGGTATTGACATTAAAACCAAGACCTATTTATTTCTTGTTAGGATTTATAAATAATCTGTTTTGATAGAATTTGTACTGGTTATCGACAAGAGAGTATGAAATAAGAGGAAGAACCCTCGTGCGAACAACCCGAGTTATTTTTGGATTCACGCACGCGTGGAAGTTCTCCTCGCGAATCCGCACGCTACACGCAACAAGACGATCGTGTTTCACATAACCAACACGAAGATTTATTTCACAACGCTGTAATTTGTTCACTTATCGCTGATTCCATCCTCTTGTTTCGTTTTTTCGTTTCTAAAATATTGAATTCAAATTGGATTCTCGCTGCAATAAGGCGCAGGGTGAGGAATTCCTTCCCTTAAGTCGTCTCTTGTAAGAAATATTTCGATCACACTTGCTGGTCTATAAAAACGGTTACTTTTACGTGAAAACAAAACAACCAAGAATATATTTTCAACAACAACGTATTCTTGCAGGTAGCAGGAGCCCATTGGGTAATGGGTAATGGGCTCCTGCAGGTAGTCATTTAATTGACCTTCATAATAAACTTTTCCATAAAAGAGATATTTTTTTCAATTGATAACCTCCGAATAAATGTTTCCCAGTCAAAACTCTCAATAAAAAAGCTTCTTTATAAAAATTGCTCTCGTAGCATCATTTGGCGTTGTCACGTAACAAGTGCGCGTTGCGTGACTGCCCCAAGCAACAGCTGCGTTGGCCCTACTAACACTTATTAAATAAAGATTTCTCTATCTCTAAACAGACGTAAACTTTCATTCTTATTCAGGCTTACCATGAAAGATTTAACGGTTTCTTTCAGCTTCCAGTTTACTTCACGGTCGTTGTTCGAGTCGTCACGAAATGCTTCTCGAGGAAGAGTTTCGTGACGCGTAGAAAATTGGGTGACAACACTCAAGAACGGTAGCGACGGAGACCCCGTTTTACATAAGAGTGTCTTCTAAAATGAAACACTGATTCAGATGAATTTCTGGCAACGATTCCAAAGGTAAAATAACCTTTCAAGTCGAGAAGCAGTCCTGGGGCCCGTTTCTCGAAAGCCCCGAAAACTTTACGGGCCCGAAGAGCCAATTTTAGTTAAGGTGGTATGGTACCCTCGAATGGACCAAAAAGTTTGTTTAAATATGTTGAAGAAAGATCAATTGTGTGCTATTGCACTCAAGAAGAGAAATTAAATTTCTAGAGTTTTACTCAAAATGGTTGCTATGGAAACCAGCCACAGCCTTTTGAGGTAGTGTTTTATAGTATTGACGCCAACACTTCCTGCTCTTTTACAAAACAAGGTTTGACTATCAAATAAGCATATCATGTAAGTTTCTGTTTTTTTCTGTGCAATGAATCTAAGTTTTGACAGTTAACTCTTATTTTCAGTGCTTTTTACAGCTTTATTTGGAAATAACCTTATTTTTTACCACACCCAGTGGACAAATCATCTCATG